AGATTTAAAATGGGAAGGAACCTTAGAGACAGTAGTTCACGATTCCCCACCCCCGATTTAGTTCAACTCCCTCCTTTTACAGGTGGAGTCTACTTCACTGAGCTCCAAAGGATTAAAGTGACTTGCTCAAGGTTACACAGGTTGTATGCAATAGGGGCAAGATCTGAACTCAGGTCCAAAGCCAATACTCTTTCCTTGTTACTTCTCTGAAGGCTACTTAAATATATGTATGTATGTGTATATATACACATGCATGTGTGCATTCTGACTCAGGTCTATTTCTGTTCTTGAGTATAATGACTGTTTCTAAAATCAAACCAGATGACATGAGTTTGTTGTTGTTGTTAAGTCATTTTCAGTTGTGTCTGACTCTTCATGACTCCACCTTCTTAGCAAAGATACTGGAGTGGTTTGCCATTTCTTTCTCTAGCTCAACAGGATTAATTGATTTGCCCAGGGTCACACAATTAGTAAGTGTCTGAGGCCAGATTTGAACCCAGGTCTTCCTGACTGCAGGCCTGGTGCTCTATCCACTGTACCACCTTGCTACCCCTGACATGAGAGTACTCCTTATTAATTTTCCTAGGTGCAATGGCCTCTTCCATTTGCCTTGTGGTTTTTGCAATTCACATCTAACTATGTCTCCTGCTCTCTCCAGCTCTTTTCTACTTACTTTCTTACCCATCTTCTTGATATTCCAGGAAAAGATTTCTCAGGTGCGATGGGACCTGATGATGAAGACAAAGGAACACACTAAGAAACTTCAACAAATGAATGAGTTATGTCTTGAAAAGCGGCGGCTTGAAAGTCGTTTAAATACATTGCAATGTCAGCAGGTACGCTTCTGCCCTGGTCTTGCTTGGCACTGTGTTGTTGGCATCTGTGAGTAGAATCAAATGGGGCTGATGAGTCTACTGGTGACTGTTGAATGCAGGTACACTCTACCTTCTCCTTGATACTCTCTCCTCCTTGACTTTCCAATCATATTACTGCTTTCCATGGGTGTCTTCCAATGCTCTGTCCTGGGCACTCTTCTTTCTCTATACCTTCTCTCTTGGTGAACTCAATATCTCCATGGATTCAAGGATCACCTCTAGGCATATGATTTTGAGATCTATAGATCTAGCCATAATCTCTCACTTAAACTCCAGTCCAAAATTACCAACTGCCTGTTAGACATCTCCAACTGGATGTCTCATAAACAGCTCTGACTTAGTAAGTCCAAAATGGAATTCCTTATCATTCTCCCCAAAACCAGCTTTCTTCCTAACTTTGCTATTTCTGTCCATGGTACCACCATCCTTCCTGTCATTGAGGTGCCCAGGTCTATATTATACATGTAGTTTATCTCTGGTAGGAGGGACTGGGACTATTGGGATTTTTTTCCTTTTATTCCTTAGCATTTAGCACAATACCTTACATGACACAAAGTAAGCAATTAATAAATGCTTGTTGGATGACTGCATGTCTGCTGTAAATTATATAAGTTGGCAACTTGAGTATCATTAGTTGCGTATCATAACTGTGAATTGCTGAAAATTGAAGACCACCTGTTTAAGACAAGGTCCCTGTCTTCATGGAGTTTACAGTCTATTTGGAGGTGGGGAACAATTCATAAACATATTAAGAGTCAAATAGCAATAGAACAGCTCTTGAGAGCAAAGAGTGTGCTCGCCTTTCTTTGTATCCCCAAGGCTTAGCACAATGCCTAACACAAAATAAGTGCTTCATAAATGCTTGTTCCGTCTAGCAATGTAAAGAGACTGATTAGCTGCAAGTTAACTGCTATAGACGTTTGGAGACAGTAGAGATCATCATGGCTGTCTTGAATGATCTGAGAAGCCTTTACAGAGGAGGAATAATTCAAGTTGGGACTTAAAGGATGAGAATTTGGATTGGGGAGGAGGGAAGGAGCAGGTGCTTTGGGGGGAGTGGTAATGAGTAAGGTAAAGGTGAACTGCAGGTGAAAAAAAAGCCTTCTGTAATACCAGTTGTGTTCAAGTGACAAGTATGGAGACAGCTTGCGGGGAGGCTTACAGTTTAGACTTTTATCCTATAGGCAACTGGGAGCTAATGAAGATTTTTCAGCAAGGCGGGTCATGCCCTCCAAGCAGTATTTTAAAAGGATTAGCACCTACTATGGTGCCTTGGATGGAGTGGAAGCTTGATAAATATTTGTTGGCTGGGAGGTGATTAGTCTGGGGCAGTTGGTAGGATAGATTAGAAAGGTGGCTTTCCCTGAAGACAAGAAGAGTTCAGAGGCTATTACAATAGCTTATGCATACAATGAAAAAGGCTAGAACACGGTGTTTATGGCTGAGCAAAAATTGCCGTATTCTCTCTGATAAATGAAACCTAAAGTCCTTTTCTTACTGTGGAAAAAAATGTCAAATTTGGATCAGATTTCAAATGAAAGCTCATTAGGACACTGTGACTGTCATATGGTGGTCGAGAAGGGATGGGGTGGTGTCAGAGGTAGTGATCAAAGAGGATCCAAAATGATTCCAAGGTGTTAGATTGGGGAAGTAGGAGACGCAAAGTACTTCGGTCAGACATTAGGACATGGGAAAAGTGTCATTGTTAAGAGAGAGGGCCATTGGGTCAAATCAACAAGCATTTTTAAAGTGCTTGTTATTTGCCAAGCACTCTGCTAAGGATTAAAAAATCTCTGTTCTCAAGGGGCTTATATTTTTGGGGGAAGACAAAAAGTAAATAACTAGGTACATACAAGAAATACACAGCATAGACAGAAAGAAATCTCAAGAGGGGAAGTCATTAGCGGCTGAGGATGGGGGTGGGGTGAGGACTGGGAAGAGCCTCATGCAGAATATGAGATTTGAGCTTAGTCTTCAAGAAGGCAGGGAAATTGAGAGGGGGAGAATTCTAGGTGTGGGGAAAAGCCAGTAGAGAAGGCACAGAAGTATATTAAGGGAGTACACCCAAAATTGTAGTGATCTGGGTACATGATTTAAAAAAAGTTTGGAACATCCCTCACCTGGATAATTATCCAACATTTCTACCGCAAGATTATGGATATTGTGTTATTGTTACTTTTTATATACACAACATCCCTTAGTTTGTCTTTATGTTTATATGCCTCCTTAACTAGGGATGATATTGTTTTTCAGTTGTTTCTGACTCTCTCTGACCCCATTTGGGGTTTTCTTGGCAAAGATACTGAAGTGGTTTGCCATTTCCTTCTCCAGCTTATTTTCCTGATGAGGAACTGAAATAAACAGAGTTAAGTGACTTGTCCAGGGTCACATAGCTAATATTTTGAGGCTGGAGTTGAACTCATGAAGATGAGCTTCACCCGATTCCAGGCCCAGTGCTCTATCCTCTGCGCCACCTAGCAGCCCCGCTATGAATTCCAAATTTGAATTATTCAGGCATGTTTTTAGTGTATGTATTGAGGCACACATTTCACCAAAGACACGTTGACATCAGAAAGAATTAACATAGCTGGCAAAGAGAACCTGCTAGATAGGATTAGGAAGGTGGTAAAACTTGTCTTTGGTATTTTCCTCCATCCCTTTTTGCAGCCCTACTCCATAGATAGGTTGTGTCCTTATATATTCCTGTGGCTGTGGACAGCCTCCCATATGTGGTGATGCACTGAAGACTACCTTGCCTGGACAATGCCCCAAGCTCCAAAATGGCTGCTGAAGGGTATCTCCACTTCCCTTTCCCCCATGTTCAATTCTCATGGGGCAGGGGATTCTGATTAGAGGTTGGACTAAAACAGCTTATTAAGTTAATTTGCACCAGTGTATGAGTGGCTGAGAGCTAGCTTAATTTATGAACTCCTACATGTAAACATTTACATTTTGAAAGAGTGGCTAATTAATCAGAAGGAAAGTCTCTTGTTCTATAACAATAACAGCTAGTATTTATATTGCACTTTAAGGTTTACAAAGCACTCTAAAAATATTATTTTATCTTTGCAACAACCCTGGGAGGTAGGTGCTATTATTATCCCATTTACAGATGAGGAACCTGAGGCAGATGTAAGGTCATACAACTAGTAAGTGCTTGAGGCCATAGTTTAACTCAGGTGTTCCTGTCTCCAGGAAGTCCGTTGCTCTAGCCACTGCACCACATAGCTGCCTGCTAGTTTCAAGAGATTTCTTTCTGGGTAGACCCCTCAATTTAAGAGAGCAGTTTACCACCAACTCTGCCTCTATTTCTCTGTTAGGCAGGCTCTTCTGTTAGGTGGCAGAGAGAAAAAACATTTTCATTTTCCAAATGGGAATAAATCAGATGCTCAAAGGAAGAATGTTGAAGGTTTTTTTTTTTATTATTTTCCCAATAGGGTAATGCCTTCCAGGGCCCTCGGAAAGCAGACATTGTGGCCAGGGAGAAGATCACTGAGCTGATCCAGATCCAGGCTGAAAAGATTCTAGCTTTGAAAGAAGAAATTGCTATCTTGCGCAGGAAAGGTGGTCTTATCCTCCCACCAATTAGCAGTGCCCGCTAAATGTTAATGCACCGTATTAATTGTTGTTTTCCAATCTGTCCTCTCCAATTTTTGTCTCTCACACACACAGCACTAAAATTTGCTTTTCACCCACCTGATGATATCTGCAAGGGAAAATGTGTACATACACATACATATACACACATGTGTATACACACACACACACAACTCTCTGCACAAAAGGGGGTCAGTCTTGTTTGTTCAACTTAATCACGTACTATCTATAAGCAAGTCCTTGAAAGAGGCTTGGGTTCCAACTTGAAAGTCTCCCACACAGATTCAGCAGCTAAATAGGTCATTCTGGGGAAAAGCCCCCAAACAACAGCCCTTTAAAAATTCATAAGCCAGGAAGAATGGCAGTGTCTGCTCCCTCTCCCCAGTCTCCTCCCGGAAGGTAGACATGAACATTTCACAAATGCGTCTTTCTGGTTCTTCATATGTTCAGAAAAGAATCTTTAAGAAACATTTAGAAAAGATGTGGACTCATTTTCCTGAAGGGTTTTAGAAATGACCAAACTGAAGGTTAGAGAGAAGACTAAACATTTATTTAGAAGTTACAGTGTTTGTTTTTACAGAGCTATGTTGCCACAGATTATTGAATCGGGAAGGTTTGTTAATGCTTATAAAGTACTGTACACATTTTAGTCTGTTCTTCTGGTCATACCATGAAAAAAATCACTTCCTGTTGTACCAAATTCAGCCGATCTATTGAGTTGGGTTTTCTTATTCCCCCAGTATGCGCTGTGATCAACCATGTTAAGCTCTCATGAAGAATGTGCCTAAGATGTGTGTTCCTTTCCTTCTCTCCTAATGGGCACTCAGCACTGTTCCTGGTAGTTGTGGAAGTTGGAAATAAAAGGTTACTTCTGTACCCAGTCCGTATGTGTCAGATGACAGTCTCTCCTGCTTGTTTTTTTCTCAAACTGCGGCTTTATATTTTCAACGTGGTACATCTCACTGGATGGGATTCTATACGTCTCTCCAGTATGTTAAGGAACATATACATTTATTTACAAGTGCATAAATATATAAATATGGCTGTAATAGAAAAATAAATACCCATTTTTCTCTGTCTCTTTTTAAAACAATATAGTCTTTTCAGGGAAGTGGCTTCAGCCTAAATTGTGGGAGGTGGAGTCTCAAAAGACACATGTATTGGTGGGCTAGGAGACAGTCTCTTTCCAGGGTCCTGTCCTAAATAGGTGCCTGGGGGATGGTGAGGACACCATTCTCCTCTCACTTGCAAGGAGTGAGGGCTATCCACGTCTTCCACTGGTACAAGGCCCAGGCAGCAGGGTGGCCCTAGAGTGAGAAGAGGATGGAAAATTAAAATCCAAACACCAAAAGGAATCAAAGTATAGCCTGATAAATTATCCCACCTGTTAGTAATAGGAGACAATCAGGCCCTGAAAGGTCAGATTTGCTTGCAACATAAATCTTGAACATCTTCCAAGATGATCTACTCCCATCACCCATTTCACACATGTAGAGAAAGGGCCATTATTACCTGGGCCATACCTAAGTATTTCTGTGGCAGGACTATATTCCTGAACCCCCTGGGGAAAGGCTTTTTTTTTTTTTTTTAAACAATTCAGAAGAAATCCTAACAACATTTTGAAAGCCCCTAGCCCCAGAGGGCTCTTTCTCCCCATGCTGTTCACATCTCCATGATTAATTATTCCCATTTTACATTTAATTACCCCCAGGCCAAAGGGATCTCATCTGAAGCTCATCTGAGGCCAACTTCAGATAATCTCCCAAAAAGTTCCAGAGGACTCCTGATGAAGAACATTATCCATCTCTTGATTGAGAGGTGATGGACTTAAGATGCAGAATTAGACAATACATTTTTGGACAGGGCCAATGTGCAGATTTGTTTTGCTTGACTATGCCTATTTGTTGAAACTTTTTCTTTTTTTTCAATAGTAAGGGAAGGGAAGGAGAGAAAATAAGTGCATGTTAACTGAAAAATAAAGTAAAATTTAAAAAATAATCTCCAAGCTGGTAAGGCCCATGTCCTGCACATTGCCCAGAAGGCATGCTATGGCTGCCCAATAAAATAACTGGCAATATTCCCCAAAGCCCCAACTTCTACCAATTCCTATGGAAGACTGGCCCAAAGAAAGCAGAAATAGAAATGGCTTTAAGTAACTTGGAGAAAAGGCAGCACAAAGAGTTATTATTATGTTATTTGTAAGACTTTGGCTCCTGTTTCACTGATTAATGTAAATCTTATTCCTTAATTAAAAAACAAGACATAACAAGGCAGTGTGTTTCTGGATGATTAGAGGTGCCTCAGTGTAAGAAGAGGCAACAGAAATTTGATAATGATCCTGAAACTCACAGTCCAGGAGAGCTTACTGCTTCACTGTATTCAGAAGTATTCATGGAATATTTCTCTTCTTACTGGTCAGCGTGGCCCAACACCTGCAATATTGCAATATGATCTACCTGGAACTTCCCCTCTGCAGATCACAGCAGGACTATAGCCATTAAAGGAACATGCCTGAGCCTTCACCCTATTTCTTCCATTTCCTTTCAGTCTGAAAGTTCTGGGGAGTGTCCCACCACATCCTGTCTTTTAAGGAGAGTCCCTTAGCCTGCTGCAGACCTGGATGAAATGGAGAGTCCCACAATCCGTCCCGCCGAGGGCTTTCAGATGCATTCCTTATCCCCGACTGGCGGACGGCAGCAGGCTCTTCCTGAAGATGACAGCAATCATCATGGGACTGAAGCAGCTGGTGAGTAGAGTCATCTGGAAGCGTGTACAGGAAGGTGTTCTCTTCAGGGCTAGAGTCAGGTTCCCTTTAAGGCAAGAGAACAAGTGGGAAGGTGAGGCAAGGCGTGGATTTTCAGGCTCAGCACAACCCTCTTGTCCCTTCTCCCTTCGTGGGCAGGTTTTCCTTTCACTCCTCAAGCATTTCTTAAATGCCCACTCTTTTGTAGGTACTATGCATTATAGGTAACATAACACTGGGGATATAAAGACAAAAGCAAAAAACAAACCCAGCTTCTGCCCTCAAAGAGCTGATGCTTTTGTTATTTTATATCAAGACCTTAGAAGGTTAGATTGCATATCTATGTTTGTTCATGTATCAGTTATCAAGGGAAAACCTGTATGAGAAGAGTGGATTACTCAGTTATTCATAACTCATATGCCACATCATCATGCCTACTGTTAAATTCCAATATGGTCATGCTGGGTTCACGTAATTACATACATAGTAATATAGCAGGGGCTCTCTACACAACATATGGGAAGGTGCATGAGTAGGACTGAGCTACTCAGAGGACATACAGGCTAAAACAGGCATATGTACCTGGATGCACCTGCCCTATGAGGCAAGGAGAGTTTTTTAGGAAGCCATTACAAGCTAGGTAACCCAACCAATTTATGTTCCAGAGTGGCAGAAACATCCTAATTATAAATAGTTTAACAGTTATTCTGACCCCCCAAAATGGCTGTTCTGAAGATTTGGGAAGCTTTGAAAATTTTTGAGTAGACTAAGAGCTTCTTGGCTTCCACCATCTAGGTCTTGGGGAGCCAGTAAGTTTTACCTGATTGCTTGGTGACTTTTCTGAGTGTGTCCATTCCCAAGGATTTTTCCCTGCAGCAAGCTGCTGTTATGATCCTGCTGTTAAAAGGTGAGAAGATGACAAAAGAGTCTTAGAGAGACTGGGATTCTTTGCCTCATTATCAAGATCTAGCTTTATGAGGAAGATAGTCTGGATTGGGAACACGGGCAAAACCTATTGGAGGCCAGTTAGGGTGGATGAGGAGGTTGGCAGCCCCAATTCTACTTAGTCAGTTTAGAATACACCCTAATCATCACACATACAAGTCCGGGGTATGAGTTACCTGCTGAAGCTCTCCTGGGCTGTACTCTTGGGTTTTCACACCTGGATAGCCCAGGGCAGCTGAGGGACAAGCCCTATTAACACGTAAACCATTGGCATAGGGCTGTCCATTGATGTAGGGCTGTCCATTAGTTCGGGGGGCAGAGATCCCTCGCAGAGGCACCATCGTGTATTGGCAGGAGGAAGATAGCAGTGCTGTGCTAGGGAAACCCAGGTCAGCAGTTTGCTCTGGAAGGAGAAGAGGAAAGAGATGCATACTCAGGCTGAGGGAAGTATAGGACAGTTTGGGAGCTTCCTACATAAGCTTTATAATGAGTCTTCCAGTAAACTGCTGGCCACAGTGACAGAAATGGAGTGGGTGGGGAGTTGGCATTTCTTCCAGAGATACAGAGGGAGAGGGGGAGCTTCCCACTTGCTCTCAGGCATGCCTCAGAATTTTCTCCCACCTTCCTGGCTCCTTTTTTTATGATATCAGAGAAGACCAGGTGAGGCAGCCTGGGGTCAGGGAGATAACAGGCTTGCCCTGTGTTCTCTTCTGTAGTTCACACACGTGAATTATAAGAGGCCTGACCAAAGGTAATGGCTGAATAGGCAAAGCAGGGGCAGGCACTGATTTAGAAAGAAAAAAGGCAGCTGGTGTAGTCAAAACAGGGGGTAAAGATTGGCAGCTTGAGCCAAGAGGAATAAGGCAAAGACAAAAGCATTGCCATGTAGATTGTTGGGAGAATATATCAGCTTTACATGATCAATCAGCTTAATGAATAGAGTGGGTCAATCAGTCAACAATTAAAAACAATTAAACATGTATTATGCGCTTAATCTTATCAATCATACAGTCAGCATTTATTAAGCACATACTATGTATGTGTCAGACACTGTGCTAAGGACAAGGGATACAAAGAAAGGCAAAAAGCTGAATATTGTCCTCAAGCAGCTCACATTCTAACGGGGCTGGGGTCTCAGTCATCTTTGCCTTCCCATGAAGTCTCTGGGGGATATGGTGTCCTGGAATGCGCTCCCAATAACCTACACAGCATTGCTCTTACTGGGGCCTTCATTGTGGGCGGGGTGGGCAGCAATTTTCTGCAAGTCCCTCTCACTTGCTAGCTTAGCACAGGCTGCCCCCATCTTGCCCACAGCAGTCACTCACTTTGCTTGGACCACGCTCGCCATAAACAGAAAGGTATGAAGGCCACGATGATAAGGACGATTGAGCCCAAGACCACACCCACAATCAGGTAGGGCAGGTCACTGGAGCGGGCCACCATAGCCCCAGAGCCACCGGGACGATCCCCTGGATCTAGCGGCAGTATTGGTGGTGGGGCCAGAGTAGGGGGCAGAAGCCGGCCTGGTTGACCAGAAGGCTTACGTGCTGCAAAAAGAGTAAAAATAAAAATTCAATGATTGCTCTTGGGTATTTACTCAGCATCAATCAGAGTGTTCTATGGGTGTGGATGTCGATTCACAGGGATCAGATTCCTATGTCTAGGTCACATTCAGGACTGTGTCAGAGCCAGCTCATACCAATTCCTGGGAGCTAACTGTTAAATTTTCAGTGTGGGCATTCACACTGTGGAAATTGGCTAACACTACAAATCAGGGCTTGCTTTGTTCTTTTGTTGACTTTCTAGACTTAAGAAAGTGATGGAGAAAATGTTAATAATGCAAATTAAATTTAAGTGTGTCCTAAGTATACTGAAATGTGTTGTTGTTGTTCAGTCATGTTCATGGACCTTGTGGACCACAGCATGCCAATACTGTCCATGGAGTTTTCTTGGCAAAGATACTGAAGTGGTTTACCATTTCCTTTTCCAGTGGATTAAGGCAACTTTGCCTCACTTAAATCTAATTCACAGGCAAGTCAAGACATCACCCTGTGGTATCACTGGTCCTCTTCAAATATGAAGGCAAATGGATATTAAGTACTTGCTCAGGGTCACACAGCTAGTGGTGTCTAAGATAGCATTTGAACTCAGGTCTTCCTGACTCCAGGCCCAGCGCTCTGTGCACTACGGCACCACCTAGCTGCCTCCCGAAATGCAAGCACTAGGAATTATGATATAGTAAGGTGAAGGCTGGAGTTGGACCACAGTGGAGCGAAGTACCTTTGGTTTCACAGATCATCACGTTGCTGAACTCACTCTCGCCACCCTCGTTGAAGCATTGCATCTTAATGTCATATGAGGTCTCTGGCTGCAGATGGCTGATGGAGTGCCAGTAGCGGTCCCCTAGAAAGAAAACACACGTCATAGCCACTAGGCGAGCCACAGCCACTTGTGGGCTCCGGGTGCTACCTAAATATTTACCTTGCAGTTTCTAAGTATTCCCACATGACGACATGCTAGTCTGTCCTATTAAAAAGCATGGGTGTCTATGGCAGGGCCTGTATACTGCTGCTACTTTATGCAAGGAAACCACCAAGAGGGACCACAAAACTGGACAGAGCATTGGTATCATAAGCTCATAGCTTTAGATCTGGAAGAAACCTGTAGGTGACATCTGGTCTAACATTCTTAATTTACAGATGAGGAAACTGAGCCCCAAAGCCTAAGGTACATGACAGAAGTGGGATTCGAACGTGGGTCTTCAGACTCTAAATCCATGCTGCCTCTTCCTCATGGAAGCAGCCCAGACTCAGGTTCTACATTACCCCAGGCTCTGGCTATGGGATGATACCACTTATCATTAAGACCCGAAATCTAAGAGGCTCATCATTGCAAGCTGAACATTTTATACGCTCCTCATTTGTATCTCACCACAAATCACCCGGTGTGGTCTTACCTTCTACTACATCCTTCTTGTAGTCACTGTCATTGTCGCTGTCTGTGGGACGATAGTAGATGTAAAAGCCATGGATTGGGGTGTTGTTGTTACTGGCTGATTTGTACTACAAGGAAAGGAGGAGAAACCAGTTACCAATGGGACACAGAGTCAATCGGAGCCAACCCCCTGCTGTTCTAGAAGCTTCCCTTCTCGTGAGGTTGAGCTCCGTCACTTCCCATGGTATGCTTTGTAAAGTTTTCCCTACCGTATTATTTCTTCCTCTGGGGTAGAGTTCAAAACTATGTGCTTCTTGAAAGCACTGTATCCTTCTTGAAAAATGCTGCAGAAATTTCATAGTGTCCCCAGAGATGGTTCCTTACTTCTTTTTTTCATGTCAGCCTTGAGAGGGGTGTGTGTGTGTGTGTGTGTGTGTGTGTGTGTGTGTGTGTGTGTACTGATTAACCGAAGAAGTGGGGATACCACTATCAATACTGTTTGCCTCCTGAATGGTAATCACTATGTAGCATGGGGACGTAGTGACTTTGGTTACTCTTGAAGGTTTATCAGACAAAGTTTTCAAGATACTTCCCGTTTTTAAATCCTATTATACAGGGACCCCAAATTTAGCCTTTCTCCTTAGATTTGCCAATTCTCAATCCTAGCTAGAGTGGAATACAAGAATTTAGGATTAGCCTGAGAAACTGGAAAAATCGGCTGTTTGGAAAGTAATTCTGGCAGAAGATAGTATTCTAAGGATTAGAAATTAAGAACCCATCTCACACATGGAATAGCACGAGGCTGAGCCCTAAATTGGGAAGTGAAGGAGTAACTTTTTCTAGTAGTTTAAATATACTTAAAACAGCTTCCACCCCCTAAATGAAAATTGGTTCCATTTTTATGAATTAATAGAGCCATACTCCTGCTTACCACCCACTTCAGCATGATGGTGGTCTCATTGACAGCATCAGTGAAGGTGATATAGGGCCCTGTGACAGGCCTCTCATACACACGGTTACTATATCCTGACACCACATAGGGTCGGGAAGCAGCGCTGGGCTCACTCTCTCCTAGGATGTTTAGTGCACGGACACGGAACTTGTAGGAGGTGCCTGGTGGGAGAAACAAACTCACTGGAGCAGCAGGCTAGAGAACATGTAATTCCTCCCCCCACCCCCCCCCCGTTAGAATCCAAAACTCAGAAGATACCTTTTGGTTGACTTTTCCCCAAGATTTTCTAACTCAATAAATCTGTGAGGCATCAATTGACTGCTCTCTATAATTCTAAGAAAACTTCTAGGCAATGAGGCAACCAGTATATCAAAAAGCATTTGTTTCTATTTTTTGTTTGTTTAGCAATTGGGGTTAAGTGACTTGCCCGGGGTCACACAGCTAGGAAGAGTCTGAGGTCAGATTTGAACTCGGGTCCTCTTGACTCCAGGCCTGGGGTTCTATCTACTGTACCACCTACCTGCCTGCCCCCACCTCCCCCTAATAAAGCTAGTATTTGTATAACACCTTAAAGTTTGCAAAAAGCTTTAAATATGCCATCTCATTTAGTCCTCAAACTAACCTGTGAAGTAGGTTAGTGGGGTACTCATAGGGTGGGGGACAGGGACGCTTTCATCAGAGCCAATCCCCTGGAGCTCTGGAAAGCTGGCATCTTTGTGGGGCTGAGCTTGCCCATACCACTTAGAGCAGGCACTTATAAACCTTGTTTCTTTAACTGAACTATGTAGCTCTGGAGCCACCAGTGACTCCATTCTCTACCTTTTTCCAGTCCTGTGATCTCCACTGACAACCGAGAGGGAGGGATGGCACTGGTGGCCAGAATCCAGTCCCCAACTTTCTTTAGCTTCTTGTATTCCACTCGGAAGGATTGAATAGGGAAGCCGCCATTTCCACGGGGGATCCAGGTCACGTACGCAGATGTCTCAGAGGCCATGGAAATGGTGGGACGGTCTGGGGCTTCTGGGGCTGAAGGAAGGGAGAAGTAGAATATGTGACAAGTTTCTCTTCACTGGTGTGACCTTAGACTCCTACGAGTTGGAAAGACCTTAGAAGCAGGAATGCCAAAATGAAAACGGAATGATAATAATAGGCAGTAATCGATGACATTTATAAAGTGTCCTAAGGTTTATAAAATACTTTATATTATGTTAGGCAGTGTCCTAAAATATATTATTATATTTTATATTATATTCTTGTATTATCATACTTGATCCTATAACAACATGAGGTAGGTGCTATTATGATCCCCATTTTACAGATGAGGAAACTGAGGCTAAAGAAGTTAGGTGACTGGTCCGGGGTCACACAGCCAGCAAGTGTATGAGGTAGGCTTTGAACTCAGGTCTTGCTAACTGACCATAACACATCAGTTACTTCTGCTTCTGTGATAATGGTCAGGCTAGATAAATGTCAGCTAGCTGGCAACTGTCATAAGAGGATTATGAATTTACTACATGGAAGATTCCACTTTATAGCACCCCTGATGGGTTATTGTCTATTACTGTCTACACATACTGTTATTGTCTACACATAACTCCATTGGTAACTGGAACAGATTGGCCTGAGACAGAGCAGGTTCCTTTCTCAAGGGAAGGGATTCCCTGACTAAGGCTTAAGTAACATAAAGAAGGAGGAACAAGGTCCTTCCTCTGCTCTCATCCAGCAGATGCCCATCATCCCAATTCCCAGAGAGGCTTAAAAAAATGTTCAGAGCAGAGTAGTGTATATCTATCTATCTATCTATATATATATAGATATATATATATAGATATGATATATGTTTTGTTTTATTTTATTATTATATTATTTTATTTAATTTTTTTTTTTTTCTATCCCCCCCCCCCCCCCCCCCCCCCGCCACATACACATTAGCCTAAGGAGCATTTTGGGACCAGGTCTTGCAGAATTATGGGCCCTTATAACAAAAGACCCCAGCCACCTGTAACGACAGAATGGGCCTCTGAGCCCCTGAGTCCAATGGTCCTACTTCCTCCTCCCACTGCAGATCTCTGGGGCCTCGCTGTCCACTTCCCCTCCCCAGCTGCTGTTAGGGGGTGCCTTACGGGAGAGGCGGCTGTTGTCTAGCTGGTTGTTACTCTGGGTGCTGGCACCTGGATCGTCTCTCTGGATCTGCTGCTCCTTGCTGGCAACAATCTCAGGTTTGGGCCTCCGACCTGTATCAAAAAGGGGTCAAGTTCAGGGAGGAAGGGATGCGGGGCCCATCTGTGTTTATATCTCACAAAGGTGTTACTCTGAGGAAGTGCTAAGTGTTCTAAGCAGCTGATATAAATATAAGGGGTTGCTGGAGGGTGGGGAGCGGGAGAGAAGTGGCCAGTGCAGGTGGGGAGGTGGTGTCCTATCTGAACACGCACAGGGTTTTGCTGCTACAGTCCACCACATGGAGAACCCTGCAGTTCAGCTTCCTCACTTGAAGTCAGCAATGGGAGAAAGGTCCTATTTATACTCAGTTTTGGCTCAGCAGCCAATCAAAGCTTTCTCTCACCCCACAGTAAAGGGGAAAGGAAACAGGAAACAGTCATAGAATACTTGGGCAAGCTTTGAGTAGAGGAGCAGAACCCTTCCCTTACACAAGGGTACCAGCCCAGGGCAAGGGGAGATTGCAAGAGGCAAAAACACTGCTCGTGGTCATCCTCCAGGGATGGCACTTTTATTAGCTAGTACCCCGTTGGAGGAATAATAACCAATATTGTAAATAAATTCCTCAATGGCACCTTGAATCAAAGGCTCTTTCTCTCTCTCTCTCTCTCTCTCTCTCTCTCTCACACACACACACACACTTGTTTATTTTTAATTATTTATGGAATAAGACAAGCATTTCCATAACATAGTATAATAAAAAAGATGATTGCACACGAAACTGCAAATCTACTATGTACAACTTGCTATTCCTTCTAAATATATAATAAAGTTATCATGTAAATTTCTTTTTTTCTTCCCTCCCCATAGATGGCTACCATTAGACACAAATAGGTGTGTGTATGTGTGTGTATATACACACACATATATATATATAATTATTCTATACATCTATTAGTTCTTCCTCTAGATGCAGGTAGCATCTTTCTTCATATGTCCTTTATAGTTAATTTGGATGGTTATAATAGTCAAAATGATTTATTCACTTAAAGTTGTTCTTAGAGCAATATTGCTGTTACTATACACAATGTTCTTTTGGTTCTGCTCATTTCATTCTCTCTCTCTATACATACATACATACATACATACATACATACATACATACATACATATATATAATGCCATATAGTAGATGCTTAACAAATTCTTGTGGAAAGAATTAATGTTTTTAAAGCATGACAATTTTCTGGTTATGCTTTACCCCCAGTATAATACTGCTATCCCTTGGTATTAAAAGAGAGGGGAGAGTCAAAAGAGTGTGTAGAAAGTTATAAAACCAGGAATGGAAATAAGGTACCCCATCTATCTGGGGACTACATTAGGGAAAGCACATAATGAGCGCAAGTAATCACCAACACAGATCCCAGGAGGTTTTACAACAAATGGAAATACCAACTGTACAGAAAGATAAAGGCCAAGATTTTCACCAGGAGTAAGGGGGAAAGGAAACTCCTTTTTCACACAGGGAAGAACCCTTCAATAGTCCCTCAGGATGATGCCCAAAAGCCAATGAGGTAGCAAATAACTGTTACCAGTTCGAAATGTGACCATGGCTGTTTGTCCCTCCCCAGCACAGTTGTAAGCTGCCATTTCAACTTCATATAAGCTCCCAGGGTCCAATCTGGTCAGTGTCAAGCGGTGTTGGTTAGCTGGAATGCCTGAGATGGTCCACTCATCAGAGGAATTTATAACCTGCTGGAGAAAAGGACTTAAATGAGGTCTGGTCTTTTCCTGAGGTTTCTACTGAAAGTGCTTTTTGGAGTTAAAGGGCCCACTAAGGAGGAAGGCAGACGTGACAGACATTTAGTGGGGAGGAATGGTGGAGAAAGGGGGTGATGATCAAGGTCAGTTATGCCCTGATCTCAGACGCATTTAGGCAAGGCCCTGTAAGACTTTTCATAAAGGCAGATTCAACCCATGAAAAATTATTTTACTCTTATTTTATAACTAAAGCAGTTTAGGAAATCAGAGAAGGTCTGATATCATGCAGCTATTCTACCCATACCAACTTTACAGAATCACAGAAGTGGAATGGTCTTATCCAGTCCCACTAGTGCCAGAACAGCAATCCAAACTGCCCTTCCTCATGGCAAGCCTTGATATACTCAGTGACAGCCAACTTATTCCCGCTAAGTCTTTTCTTTTCGAGGCTTAACATTGTCTCAGGATCCTTGCATGGTGTGGCCTCTGGTCCCATTAATTACCCTTATCTGGACATGCTCTAGGGGCGTCACTTTCCCAATGCAGTGATTCCCTGTTAGAATGTAAACTCATTGAGAGGAGTGATTGTTTCATTCTTTGCATTTGTAGTTTTCATGTCCAACACAAGGACAGTTAAGCAGGCATTAACAAATGAACGCTGATGATTGATTGATAATGCTCCAACTGAACAAACAGTTCAGAAGTGATCTGACCAGAGCACAGTGGGACTAAGGTGGGCTCTGAAATTGCTTCCCGTTCTAGATCTCTATGATCCTATATGTTCTACATCCCAACCAAAATGATCTAATTGCAAATATCAAAATTGGATATTTCCTGGTCTTTGCATAGATGTCTCTCATGCCTAGAACGCCTGGGAGTCTATGTGGCAGTACTTGAAGCAATAAAGGCATACCACATAGAGCGTTGGACTTGGGATCAGGAAAAACTGAACTAAAATTCTTCCTCAGACACTTATAGCTGTGTGACCCTGAAAAGACTGCAACTTCTCTGAGCCTCAGTTTCCTCATCTGTAAAATGAGGAAGTTGGAATTGATGGTCTCTAAGACCCCTTCCAGCTCTAAATCTATAATACTGTGAATCACCTAAAGTAAGAGATTTCTACTGAAAAGCAAACAAGAATTTGCCAGGGAGGAAATGACTGGTAGGAAAAGACTTTTATCCCCAAGTGGAATATTATAAAAGTAGAACAAAACCTACCATTCAAGGGACAAGGATGTTTTGGGCTTAATATCAGTTTTTCTTAATTTGTGCCAAAAGGGTGAGGTTTTCATAAGCTGTGAATCCCCAGTGGTGTTGAAAATCCAAACACAGTAGTACAGGGCATGTGCGAGATGGACCAGGAAATGAAACGTGTTATACACGTGTGAAAAAGCGAAACCTGCCAGGATGATTTCAGCTCCCTGGTGTATAAGGGAACATGGAAAAAAAAAATCCTAACAGGTTCACTCTTGTGTTTTTCAACTCTTTTTGTCTGTCAGAATCTCAAAGACAAACTGACACTCAGGAAAGAAACTTCTTTTCAAAATATCATTTCTGCCTTGCTGGTATCCATTTAGTAACTCTAGGAACACTAGAGCCTTTGCAGCCTAAGAGCAGCTGGGCCACTGTTTCTCTGGCTTCTCCTGATCCCCTCAATCTTCCCCTTTCAGGCCCCATACTTCCCCTGGGTTCAGCAAAAAAAAAAAATAATGTCAAGTTAATTATTCACTGTCAAACATGACAAGAAGATAAATTATGTCACAGCGCTGGCATTTCCAGATCACCACAGTCTGGACACTGCCAGCGTGTTGCTCAGTGGGGCAGCTTGGTGGCCACCTATTGGCTTGAAAAATATCATCCTTGTCCACCCCAGGTCTTTTTTCTTGGGGACCAAGGGAGTTTGTTTCCTCCTATCCTCCCATCCCTAATTTGGTATAAGTCTATGAGATGGAGGAGTCCAGTTACATAGGAAAATGAATCCTTGCGCCCCTCTTTCTATGCAAAACTGCCTTGTGTTTGAGACTGTCATATTCCTTTTCTCATTAGTCTGCTTGCTGCAAGGCATCCTGGGTGCCTGAAGAGGCAGCAATGCTATTCAGCCGTTTCAGTCACGTCTGACTCTCTGTGACCCCGTTTGGGGTTTTCTTGGCAAAGATACTGGATTGATTTGCCATTTCCTTCTCCGGCTCATTTGACAGATGAGGAAAGTGAGACAAATGGGGTAAGTGACTTGCTCAGGGTCATGCAGTTAGTAAGTGTCTGAGACTGGATTTGAACTCTGGTAGATGAGTTTTCCTGACTCTAGGTCTAGCGCTCTATCCACTGCACCACTTAGCTGCCCTTTACCTCCCATCTACTCCATCCAAACATGCGTGTGTGTGTATAGATTTTGTGTGTACATAGTTGTTTGCATGTTCTCTTGCCCATTAGACTTGCAAACTCCTTGACTGCAGGGATTGTTTTCTGCCTTTCTTTGCATCCCTGACTCTTAGCACATTGCCTGACATAGAGTTAGTGCTTAATAAAGATTTGCTGGCTTCTTCTGAAGAGGAATAGGTATCTTTAAGTAGGGAACGTAATGAAAAGTCTTGAATGTTTATCAAGAAAATGCTTGTGCTCTTAAGAAAAAACAAGAAAGCCTCACGCACCCAGCATGAAGAAAAATGTTGTTAAAGATTTTTAAAAAGAAAAGACAAACAAACTAGAAAATAATGGAAATCTCCTCTGAAGACAAATAGGCATCTTTTAGTAGTGAATGTATCCCCAGCCTTGCTGTGCTGGCTTGTAATTAAGACCTAAAGTCAAGAGAAACAATGAAGCTGATTCTAGTGATTCCTGGGGTTCTTCCTACCACACAGCCAAGTGACTCTCCCAGGGATCTGCTGAATATTCACCTTGACAGAGAACCTGCTGTTCAAAAAGAAATACTTGAGGTCTGAAACGGTAGTCAGCTTATAACCTACAATATCCGCTGGGCAAAGGTAGAATTAAAATTTAATTCCAAAAACTCTGGAGGAAGGCTTTAAACCTCCACAGAAAACATACTCATAATGACTGTCTCATTTTGTTTTTCTGTCTTCAAAGACAGTTCATCAATGCTAGGATACTGCAGGGTATACGTCAAGAGTCAGAAGGGACCATAGAGGTATCTAGTCTAATGCCATCATTTTACAGATGAGGAAACTGAGGCACAGAGAGGTAATGGCTTGCTCACTAGCAGAGGCAGGATTTAAACCTATATTCCTGACTCCAAATTCAGTATTCTTTCCAAAATATCACATTGCACATTTGGGTCCAAAAGTGGTTCCGAAGGAAAGAAAAGGTGATTGTTAACAGAGAGCTGACAATGATAATAATAATAATAATAATATGTTGTTCTTGTATAATATTGTATCATTGTCATATAATATTATGTAATAGCTATTATGACATAAGAGCTATATTATGATATGTATACTAGATTATGATATATAATATTATATATGATAATAATGATAATAACATTTATATAGTACTTTAAGGTTTGCAAAACTTCCAAGGAGAGTCAGATACAAAGCAGCTTCTGAGAAAAAGAAACAAGAGTTCTGATTAAGCCCAAAATATGGCTCTTTCCTGGGTTTATTAGACATTCGAGCGGCTGCTCCTTCACAGTTGGGATATCCTGGTCAGCCACAGTTATTTTGACTGGTAAGTTTCACCAGCTTTGAAGAATGTCAACTCCATATCCCAGTTTCTGTTGAGGGTGCCATATTCCTGCTAGGTTTGTAACCTCAGTGTCACCTTTGACTTTTGGCATCTCTCATAATGACACCTTCTCTCCACTTACACATCTACCCCCCCTAGTATGGGCCATATCTTGACAGTCTGGGAGACTGGATTTTGGGGGAAGAAGGAGGTTAGGGTAATGTTCAAGTGGAAAACTCCTATGGGGATGAGATGGGTGAGCACAGGTGTAGCAACATATGACTCCACAAGATGAATAGCTGAACCCCAGATTCCTTGTTTGTGAAACCTTGTTGTGGGGCTCTGAGCAGGTGTATTAGACAAGGAAGAAAAAGACTGTCAAGTTTCTTATACCAGCCCCACCCTAAAAGGGGGCATCACCAATTTTAGAAGCTCCCCAGCAATAATGCCAGGGGTGAGTCTCCCTCCGTCTCAACACTAGTAGGTGGGAACATGGAACAAGAGGACCCTACCTTGCGGTGCTTCACCAGGTAGTAGAGGATTGGGGCTCTGTTGCCGCTGTCATGCCGAGGCCTCCACACTAGCTCATAGTAGTCTGTCTTGGAAGTCCTGGGAGAGCTGAGGATGATGGGAGCCTCAGCTGGAGACACCTGCCCCTTTGCAGATGTGCATTGTAGGGAGCCGGGCAGGGCTGTTGGCCTAGGCCTCAGAAGCATAGCTCGATCCCTCAGAGTCCTATCAGGGCTGCTCGGTCTAGCAGGAGGTGTGGGAGACTGAGCTGATCCGAGCTTGGCCTCTCGCCATGGTTTCAGGGTTGTTCCTAAAGACAAAAGAGGAAAATAGATGTAAGGAAGAGCCATTTTAAATGCTACTACTTGCCTGAGATCGTTAGAACTTGCCTTCACTGGACATATTTGCTTGAAAATAGAGAAAAGAGTCAAAGGGAACCAGAAGACTTGGGAAGTAAGATTTTAAAACCACAATATTAAAAATGAAAATCATGATAAATGAGTATCAGTCATGTCTGACTCTTCATGACCCTGTGGACCATCCATGGGATTTTTTTGGCAAAGGTACTGGAGTAGTTGGCCATTTTTTATTCTAGTGGATTCAGGCAAACATATGTTAAGTGACTTGCACAGCAAGTAAGTGTCTGATGCCAGATTTGAACTCAGATCTTTCTGACTCCTGGCCCCTGAGCCACCTACCTGCCAATGAATACACACTAATATATACTAAGCTCCTACTATGTAACTGAGTAATACACAGGTTCTAGAACTAACCAGTCAGGCTCCTTCCTAGGAGTTTTATGATTCTGTGGGGCTGGAGAAGGTGGTGTCTGAAATGATCTCCTTAGACTGTCCAAGTTACAGTGCACAGCCTAGGTGGTTCACAAATGACCACACTGTTTCTAAAGTAGGATGGCTCTTATGAGTATTTGTAGTCAAAGGTTCTTCTCTCCCTTTTTAAGATGGTAGGGCCCAGATGTTAGAATTCAACATATTCAAATTAAATGTTTATCAAAAGCCTAATGTGTCCAGAGCACTGCACTAGATCCTGGGGGAGACATAAAGATAAATAGAAATCTATTTCTGCCCTTACAGTGTATACATTTTTAAAAGCTCTACATCAAAGGACCTGGGTTCAAAACCCAGTCCTACCATTTAGTACCAATGTGGCCTTGATCCTCTCTGAGCCTCCATTTCCTCATTGGTGAAATGAGGAGCTTGGAGATAAAGGTCCCCTCCAGCTTCACCTCTGTGATTCCTGTCCTCAGGAAACACGTAACCTAGTAACATCCAGTGCTAACTGGGAGTAAGTAGGACAGAGAATGAGGAGTGCCATTACTCTTTAAGGGTCAAGTACTGTGGCATGCTCAGACATGTTTCTCCTATTCCACTGAGGTAATACATTGGGAATAAGTCGGGGCAGCTAGGTGGTGCAATGGATAGGGCACTGGGCCTGGAGTCAGGAAGACTTGAGTTCAAATCCAGCCTCAGATGCTTACTAACTGTGTGACCCTGGGCAAGTCACTTAATCCTGTTTGCCTCAGTTTCTTCATCTGTCAAATGAGCTAGAGAAGGAAATGGCAAACCAATCCAGTGTCTTTGCCAAGAAAACCTCAAAAGGGATCCCAAAGAGTCAGACAAGACTGAAAACTGACTAAACAACAACAATCATAGGAATGGAATAGTGTGATCTGGGAGAACCTGAGAGTGCCTGGAGAACAACAGGAAATTAGAAATCAGCTGAAAGTAGATGGGAGTGAGCAAAATAGCACTTTGCTCATGAAGCCTTCCCAACTTACACTGACCAGCACTGATCTTATATCTTCCTTATACCATTCATAGCAGTTATTATCTGTAAAATGCATTTTTCAGAATTTGATGTTTATATGTAATTCAGTAGTCTATTACATACTGTCTCATAGTGGTTTCTAATTATTATTATGTACTTTTTTCTGTTAGTCTTGAATTATTCATGCATATAATTCTTCTCTTTATAGCAAGATCTTAAAATCTCCTTGAAGATAGAACACTCTTATGGTTGGCACTCAATTAACACTTGTTTAATTGAATTAAACCAAAGAGGGTTGACGCAGAGTTAAGGATGAGCAATGAATAAAATACAGATGCAAATGTTGTAGCCAAAAGAAAATGGGATGTTTTGGGCCCGCTCACCAGGCCGGGCTGTCTTCAGCTGTGCCATAGCCTGGGCACTTCCAACTTCATTCTCTGCCATGCACTGGTACACCCCGTCATCCTCAGGCCCTACGCTCACCACCCGTAGGGCCTTACGGGAGAGCCGCAGACGCTGGCTGGCAGCAAGGGGCACAGCATTTCTCAGCCAGAGCACTGAGGGCTGAGGGTTTCCCCGTACTTCACAGGTAAACTTGGCACTCTGTCCCCACGGGATGATCTGCTGAGATAGCTCCATGGTGACCTCAGGGGGTTCTTCATGGGGAAAAAAAAAGCAAGGTTACAATGGTTATAAGAGGAAGAAATCTGCTACCTTTCTGCCCTAAACTGAATATTAGAAAAGGGATAGGAGGCTGGCACTCATGGCAACTTCAGGGAAGAGTGTGTTATACTCTGCTTGGTTCCATTAAAATAATTATTAAAGTTGCCACTCTGCTACTCATTCACTGTGTGACCTAAGAACCTGAGAATATAAGCCTAATTTTGCTCGTCTGTAGAAGGGAAATAATAATACAAGGAAAGGAAAAGAGAAGACTGAAGGCGGCACTCACCAAACACTTGGACATTGTAGAGTATGACGGCTGCTCCTGGCTCCCCAACCCCATTGTCCGCCATGCACCTATAGCTTCCAGAGTCCTCCTCACTGGTAGCGTCAATTAGGAGGTTGGTGAGCAGAAAGCGGGTTTTATTGTAGCCCACAATACTGGACCCATCCTTAGCCCAGGTGACCCTTGGAGGTGGGATTCCACTAGCCACACACTCCAGGATAAGGCTCTGGCCCTTGGTTACAATGATGGTCTGAGCTTCTGGGGGGTAAATTATCCGAGCAGCTTCAGCGGTAGAACCTGGGACGATAGAGAAGAGAAAAACAGAAGCACAGAGTCTATGACCTGCTGTTTTCTAAGAGAGGTAGGTACTAAGTCAATAATATTGTCCTGGTAAGACCTGGGAGGACCAGTCTTGAAGCATAACACGTTCTGCACATGGGCCAATTGAGATTGCATTCCCAGGGAAAGTAGAGATTAATCCTGAACCCTCAGCCCCGTGAATGGATGTGAGTATACCATGCCTGCCCTCACAAAGCATATAATTTAGTAAGTTCTGTATCAGAGGGCCTGGTTTCAAAATCCCACTCTCCTCCTTACTAATACACTTGAAAAAATCATTTAACCCGCAATGTCTCACTTTCTTCATCTATGCAATGAGAGGCTGGATCACGTAATTTTCAACTTTTTTGTGTTATGGACCTCTTTGGTAGTCTGGTGAAACCTATGGATCCCTTTACAGAATAATGGTTTTAAATGCATAAAGTAAAACATACAGAATTACAGAGTAAATCAAGTTTATATTCCCCTTCCCCCCCCCCCCAGACAGATGCTCCGCTTGGTTCTAACTCTATAAACATCATTTCCCTGCCCCCTACGATTGTTGTCATTCAGTCATGTCTGACTCTTCATGACCCCATTTTGGGGTTTTCTTGGCAAAGATACTGGGGTGGTTTGCTGCTTCTTTCTCCGGTTCATTTTACAGATGAGAAAACAGGGTGAAGTGACTTACCCAGGGTCATACAGCTGGTAAGTGTCTGAGACCAGAGGAGACTTCCTGACTTGAGGCCTGGTGCTCTATCCACTGTGCCATCTAGCTGCCCAATATAGGCTCATCACCAGAAATCTCATCATGGAGAATGCTTTAACTTTGGTACTCAACACCTCCCCAGCATCCTCAGCGGCCTCTCCCCTCTTATTGGACAGTTAAGCAAAGAACTCCCAAAGCCTCCTTTTACAGACAGCTCGGAACTTCTAGCCAATATTCTGCAAGCTCCTTGAGGGCAAGAGCTGGTTTTTCCTTATTTGTATCCCCAGCACTTAGCACAGTGCCTGGCTCATAGTAAGTACTTGACAAATTTTTATTGACTATTGACTCCTGACTACAGTTACCAAAAATGTTAAAAAAAAAATAAGTTCACAAAACCTGGGTTAAGAACACCTAATAAGGTGCCTTCCAGTTTTATCTCTGTGATCCTATGATCTTTGTCCTCATAGAACATATATAGTAAGCTTTTCTAATGTCTAATGCTAACCAAGAGTAATTGGGACAGGGACTGAGGAGCACAACTGTATTATATGCTTTAAGTCATTTCTTCTACATATGTGTAGCAAAAGGGAAAAACTGGAAATCTTTCATTCTGTGCCCCAATACATGGCTACTGCTCTCCTCCTCTCCTGAGAGGGAAACCTATGAATTCCTGGCAGTGTGATTGGGGATGGCCACTCCTTATTACAACTGTCAGAGCACAGGTGTGGCAAAAGCTGATGATCTCTTTTAGAGAGGGAATACTAACTGGGAATACAGCTCCTCAAAGACAAAGGCATTGGTATGCATGTGGAGAGAGAGAGAGAGAGAGAGAGAGAGAGAGAGAGAGCCTTCTACCCTCTCAATCTTTGAACATTGAGCCTACATTGCTATCTGCGGCTCTCTGAGGGTTGCCATTCTTTGCCTACTGACACATTGTAGAGAAAGGAGATACCCTGAGTTTTCAGCCTCCTTCTTCCCTCTTCCACTCTTCAAAAGGGGAAGCATTCCCCAACCCCTAGAAGAACTGGGTTCTCTTACGTCGCACACGAAGCCGATCGCTGGAGACAGAAGTTTTCACCTCCTGAGTCACAGGGTTGTATGCAGCACACTTGTACATCCCTTCATCTTCCTGGCTGGCATTGACAATCTGGAGGTTTCCTGATGGCATGATCAGGTAATTGTCTGTCAAAGAAACAGGGGAACAGATAAGACCTCAATTCATGAGTTTTGCCTTGAGTAAAGCAAGGCACATTTCAATCTCTCTCTTTGTCATATATCTAGAGCTCAAAGATACTTCAGAGACCATCTAGTCCAAAACCCTCATTTGACAGATAAGGAAACTGAGGCTCAGGGAGATTAAGTGACTTGACCAAGGTTCCACAAATATTAAGCAACAGATGCAGACTTGAACTCATCCTCTGACTCCAGTGCTCCCTCTATTTGACTATACTGCCCCTCTTTCTTTCCCAGCCTGCTCCAAATAGGGGTAAAGGTGAAAAGGCAAAGAGAAAATTCAATAAGAGCATCCAATTCCCTGGATTTCTTTAGAGAGGGAGGACATGCATTGTAGTAAAAAGACCACTGGGCTTCAACTTAGAAGCCCTGACTTTGAATCTTGGCCCTGTAGCCCTGTGAGTAAGTCATTTAATCTCTCTGAGCTTTAGATTTTGGATTTTTTTTCCCTATTGGCAAAGAGGAGACAAAAATACTTGCCCTGCTCACTTCACAGGGTTGTGGCAAAAATTAAATGAGATAATGAATGTGAAATCACTTTGAAAAACAGTAAGGGTTATAAAATAACCCTACCAGTCATGCCTGGGCCAGCTCAAATGCCATTTTTTTCATGAGTCCTTCCCTGATGCCCTCTGCCAAAACAATTTCTCCCTCTGTGTGCTTCTATAGCAATTTGCTGGTACTGCTCCTACAGAATTACCACAGACTCTAGTGTGTATTACAATTATTTACATACAAGCATTATTTTTCCCTAGTAGAATGTAAACTACTTAAGGGTAGGGTCTAATTTATCTTTGTATGTCTGCCAGCATGTCATCTTATCTTTGTATCTTTACTACCTCAGCATCTTATACAAAGCAAGCATTTAACAGACATTTGTTGGATAAATGGATGAAATCTAAGCCATCATTGTTATGCCAGCTCAACGAAACTCTTCCTTTTTAAAGCAGCAAATACAGGAAGCCTATTCTTTGTGGTTTCTTTCTGGGATGTGGGCACTGGACCCTAGGTCTGGCGTGGGAAGGGTTAATTAACCAGGGAGTGGATTCCCCTACTCCTTGACAACCCAACTGCTGCTGTGGCTTTCAGTGTCTCTCTGCAGGTGAGATACTGACTTGTCAGTTCTCTCTTTGTTTTGATTTTCTTCCCGGGAGAGGGCTTTGTCCCTGCAGCTCCAGACAAGCCATGCCAGGAGGCATGTGGGAGTGAGGCAACAGCCCCAGGTGTACTGGTGTTAACAGCAATTCAGTGAGGTGAATGGGGATCCCATAACTTCTGGGGCTGGAGCAAGCTTTGGGGAGAGGCCTGGCTGCCTAGCTTCCACTGGTGGCAAGAGAGAATTAAAATTCTTCCCCCCCTCATTCTCTGCCTTAGCGCACTCCACCACCATCTTGGGGGGGGGAATATATGTATATATATATGTATATGTGTATATATATATATATGTATATGTGTATATATATATATATATATATAGTGATCCCTTTACCAGGTACATAAGTACAAGGAAGTTACTATGGAGAAGGGGGAATAAGCATTTATATAGCAACTACTATATACCAGGCTCCATGCTAAGCACGTTAAAAATATTATCTTATATGATCCTCACAACAACTCTGTGAGGTAAGTACTAATATTAGTCCCATTTGACATTTGAGGAAACTGAGGCAATCAGAGGTTAAGTGATTTGTCCAGGGTCATCCAGTTAGTGTCTGAGGTCAAATTTGAACTCAGTTCCAGGCCCAGTGCTCTATCTACTATTCCACTTAGCTACCTCTAAGATTAACACAGAACAATCCAACATATCGCTAAAGATTTATAGCAGTACTCAAGGAACCTAGTACTTAGCACAGTTGTGGCACAAAGTAAGCACTTAATAAATGCCTATTGATTGATTGATAATAAAAAAAACTGGAAACAAAATGGGCATGTATCGATTAGGTAATGACTGAACAAATTGAGGTATATGAATGTAATGGAATATTATTACACCATAAGGAACGATGAATAAGAGGGATTAATGGAGATATGGAAAGAGTTGCGTAAAGTGATACAAAGTGCAGAAAGCAGAAACAAGCAAAGGAGATACACAATGACTATGATAATGTCAAGGATAACACTAAAGGGCAGTAGAACTCTGATGAATTATAATAAACAATCTCCAGACCCAGAGAATTGATAAGGAAATATATCTTTCTCTTCATAAAGAAGGGGTACTATGGTTTATGGGACTTGGTGTATGCTGTTAGAAGTGGTCACTGTGTTTTGTTTAAATGTTTTTCTTTATTATAAGGAAGGGTTCTATGGTGTGTGTGTGTGTGTGTGTGTGTGTGTGTGTGTGTGTGTGTGTTGGGGGGGTGCTCTGCGTCATTTTATACAGGTCTTTCCACGTTTCTGTGAATCCTTCATATTTGTTCCTTATGGTGCAATAATATTCTGTTACATTCATGTACCACAATTTGTTTATTCATTACCCAATTAATACACATCCATCTTTTACTATTAATCAATAAGCATTTATTGTTTACTCTGTGCCACACCCATTTTGTAGCCATTTTAAAAAACGATCAATCAACAATAACTATGATGTAAAAACAAAAGGAAAACAATAAAGCTCTTAAATAAAATAAAGAGAATGATCATGAAGTTCCAACAGCTGTAGGGAAACAAAAATTACTTCATGGAAAGAGCCTTTCAAGTTGTGAGGAAAGAGCCCCATATTTGTTTGGCACCAGAGGACCTGGGTTTGAATCCTGGCTCTGCTTTTTACTACTGAGACAAGTCATTTCAGGTCTTGGGGTCTCAATTCTCTCATCTCTTAAAATAAAATAGGGGAAAAAGAGTTAGCTCTATGACCTACAATGCTATGAAGAAGTTGGATTCATTTCCAAGCAATAGACTCTAAACCATGAGAGGCAGCTGGATTTGGAAGGGGAGGGAGACAGCACTTTCTGGGAAGTACATATATTTTCCTGGTTGGAGGCTTTGACATGAAAATCCATAAAAAAAGAACCCAAATCCATCACTGTGAGGACTGAGGAGAATCAAATGGCAAGAGTGTAGAGATACTACTTGCGACCCCCAAATGGTGAGATATTCTTTGGGAAAAGGTTAGAAAAAAAAAGTAGGCAAACATGAATTCTCTGGGTCAATCAAGGGGTGGAGTTTTCAATTCAGTTAAAGTTAATGAAGCAAATACTTATTAACCACCCAATGTATGGTAGGCACTGAGGATTAACATTCGAAAACAACAGTTCCCTGCCTGATGAGGGATACAACACCGAGGCAGCTAAGTAAACACGAGATAGTCTGAAGAAAGAGAAGGCACTAAAGAGGTTAAGAACAAGAGGTCAGGGAAGTGATATGTGAGCTGGGCCCCGATGGTAAGCCCAGGATTCTAAGTGGTAGAGCTGAAGAAGGAATGTACTTGAAGCATAAAGGGAAAATAACACAGAGGTGCTGAGTTTGGCTAGAATGTAGTGCATGAGGGAGAATAAATGTCGATAAGTCTAGAAAGGGAAGCCAGAACTATTACTGGAGTTTATCTTTTATCCTAGGGACAATAGCAAAGATTCTTGAGCACAAGAGTGACATTATCAGATCTGAGTTTTTAGGAAAATAATTTGGGCAGCTTTGTGGAATATGAACTAGAGATGGGAGAGAGGAAGCACTGAAATAAATTTCAATAGCATATCCTAGCGACAAGGAACTTCACTCTAGGGATCGGGTGGGGAGGAGGTGTTAAAGTGTTTTAGGGATTTGGGGAAGTAGTGGAAAATAAGTAGAGATCAGGGCTTTCTTAAGGACCTTAGGATAGAGAGGGGCAAGACCAGGGAAGGCCAGTGGTGTGTAGCCCTGCCATTCCCCCCCCCCCCACTACTTACCTCTAGAGGCTTCTAGCCATTCTTGTTTGACACTGTAGCGAACCTGGGCTTTTGGATGACTTTCTGGAAGGTCACAGGCAATGACAGCTGTATTCCCCTCATCCACTTCGATAATATGCTGGCCATCAAACTTGAAGTCCTGGAGATCTACGCAAAGAAGGGAAAATGTTTGGTTGGGTAAAGTTAGAAGCAATAAACATTAGAGAAACTTTTTTTTGAAAAGCCCAAGTTTTTTAACTCTTGATTTTTTCAGACAGATTTTTTTATAATCAGGTTATATCACACTTAGGACATATGGCAGGAAGTCTGGATTTGGGGTTTGGAAGTGTCATCATTTACTATCTACAAAAGTTCACAGGGTTATATGCATTGAACCTTACCATCTAAGGGGAACTCCCTTAGGTATAGCTAAACTTAGCTGATGAGGAGGGCAGAGAGGTTATGAAGGGGGTAAATCAGGAGGCTGACACCTACACGAGATATCTGCCTTTTCCATTACACAGATCAGAAAGGAAGGGGGTGGATCTCTCTCTCTCTCTCTGTGTGTGTGTGTCTCTGTCTCTCTTAACTCCTGCCCCAAACAGTCTTTTTAACCATGTTGGAAATGATCTGTTTCCCACAGCATTCATTGCCATGTGGATTAGATAAACCCATAGAGTTTAAATAAAAAACAAAATAAAAAGTAGGATTAGCTCTCTACTTCAGGCTAGCCTGGAATACATTTCCTCGGCTCTCCTCCCAGGCCCCAATATAGAAAGTTATCAGACCTGAGATTGTGCTCAAGTTACAACCAGGATACTAGTTGAGTTATTATTATAATTGTGATACCAATGATGTAATAATAGCTCATATTTATATTGTGCTTTATAAAATCTGTTGCATATATTATCTCATTTGATCTTTGTAAAAATCCTGGGAGATATGCATGGGAAATAGCATGATCTCTTTTTTCATATATATAAGAAAATTGAGGCTGAAAGGCTCAATGAATTGCTCTCCCTTTCCCTTCTTCCAAGATCACATTGTTAGTAATCTGCAGAGCTAGCACCATATCCAGGTTTTCTAGCATTGGATTTCTAGATCCAATGGTTTTCTCATTATATTAGCGCTACATGTGAAATACCCTTACAGTCTTGATACATGTGAATAGTGTAATCTGCATGGATGAGCCCTCTCCTAGGAGAGATGGAAAAAGTGCAGAGGCTCTCTGAGGCATTGGAGGGGGGGGAAGGGCAGGAAGAGAAAATGGACCAGGAAGGGTTAACTCGGCCAGTATCTATTACTCTTGCTTTGGTCAAATGGAAGCAACACGTGAAGATATTGAAGTCTATGAGCACCTGTCTGGCTGTCCTCACTAGGCTGGATAAAGGACAGTCAGGCTTCTGAGCATAGGAAAGAAGGGGGCTCATCTGGGGGAAAGTGGCAATATTGTGTAAACATCTCTTTTTAAAATTTTTCAATTAATTAATTTATTTTTAGTTTCCACATCCACCTCCATAAGCTTTAGAGTTCCCAATTTTCTCCCCCTCCCTTACCTCCTCCCTCCCCAAGATGGTGTGCAATCTGATATAGGCTCTACATATATATTCCTATTAAACAATGTAAAACATCTCTTAAAAGACTATGAAGAAAGAAGTTGGACTAGGAGCAAATCCTCAAAACAAAATTAGTAGAACATGAATCTTCCATGAAATCTCTTGTCACTTTTTTTTTAAAAAGATGAGGCTTAAAGTGACATTTCCTACCCTTTCCAAAGGAAATCCCATGTGAGGTATGTAAGTTATTTTATACATATATATAGATGCACACACACATAAGCTCACACACACACACACACTTTTCTCATCTTCAAAATAATAGAAACTAACTCAGAGTTTTTCAGGACCAAATGAGGTAACATGGCAAGTGCTTTGCAAATCAAAGTTTTCAATCTCCTTCCTTTTCCTCTTTCCGCCTTTACCTCCTCTTTCTCATCTCCTCCAATAAAGATTCTGCTGTATTGAGGTTATTATTGTTGTTTTCTCCAAACTAGAAATATCCTACCCAGGTGCGGTCAATAACACATTCTGCACAGCTTTATGAGAAGTGATATCATCAGAGCTCATTGTAAAACGACTAAACGATACTGCCCGCTTTTATTATTCCTCCCCTCTAGTCCTACAGAAGGCAATAGGCAGGCATAAAGTCAGATCTCTCACTGAAGACCCCATTTGGGGTTTTCTTGGCAAAGATGCTGGAGTGGTTTGCCATTTCCTTTTCCAGTTCATTTGACAGATGAGGAAACTGAGGCAAACAGAATTAAATGACTTGCCCAGGGTCACACAGCTAGTAAGCATCTGAGGCCAGATTTGAACTCTGGAAGATGAGTCTTCCTGACTCCAGGTCCAGCACTCTGTCCACTGCCCCACCTAGATGCCAAAGGCTAGAGAGTAATTACCAAATCCAAAACTACAGTCAGTACATCAAAGCAATGAGATCAGGCCACTAGGATTTTTCAGGTGGTTTTCCACTTAGTGGAAGTGTCATAATCTGAAGACTATCATCCTTCCTAGTTAGAAGAGTAAAGCGTTTGGGTTTCTGAACTCCAGTCACTATCCCCTTGACTTGAGTACACTTTACAGTGTGAAGCAGAACTTGATGACTTCTAAGGTCCCCATAGCTACTGTGGTACCTGGCACACAGTAAAATTTTCACTGATTGATTGAATTGTATTGTCCTGTCTAAGTTTGATTAAATGTAGCTGCTTTTACCAAGGTTTTACTCCAGTGTCTCATTGTGACATTAATGTTACTCTTTGTTTTCAAAGACCATGCCAGTGGAGCCCAAGTTCTAGCAGATTTGACCAAGCTGGAAAGGCTTCAAGTATGGACCTGGTAATTAAATATATGTCTGGGAATTAAATGTATGAACTCACTAGGTTCAAACAGGTTAATTGGCAGGTTGGCCACATGAATTTTTTTTGACTATTGAAACTTTTGAAGGATGTGTACCAAGTCAGAAAAGAGTTGTGATCAGCATCAGTGAAGGGAGGGCTCACAATGAAGAAAGCATAGATTCTCAAAATATTTAAGCAAGAAAAAAAAACAAACCATGTCTAATGTTAGTTATAGTGAATAGGCAGTCAGGCAATAATCATTTGTTATGGACCTACCATGTGACAGGCACTATGCTAAGGGCTGGGGATACAACACAAAGTTAAAAACTAGTCTCTGTTATCAAGAAAAACTTCTTGTAGAGGAGTATGAGATGATATACCTAGGGTTGGAAGGTAACCTAATCAAACCCAGTCATTTTACAGATGGGAAAAGTAAAGTCCAAAGAGGTTACTGGCTTGCTCAAGATCACACAAGTATGTGAACTCAGGACCTTTCACTCCAAATCCAACCCTCTTTCCACTTTACAGAGCTGCTCCTTCACTGTGGGTTAGGGTGACACAGAATGAATTACTATATATAGAATTCAGGGAGACAAGGATAATGACCAGTTGCCTAAATTAGCACTTTGCATTTCTCTAACGTATTGCAAGTATAAATAGCTTCCTTCTACTAGATTGTAGGCTCCTGGAGGACAGGTGACATGTTCCAACCAGCCCCTCAGTTCAAATTGCACTTTTTACAGGAGGCCTTTCCTGATTCTTGCAGATGCTAGCACCCTCCCCTCTCAGGTGACCTTCCATCAACTCTTTATGTAGATTGTACATACCTACGTATGTCCGTGTGTCTTCCCCATTGGAACACAAGCTTCTTAAAGGCAGGAACTATTTTTTTTCTTTGTATCTTCAGTGCTTAGCACAGTGATAAGCATATTGTAATAGTTTAGTAAATTCTTGTGGTCGATTAATAGTATCACATTGCATAAATAACAATAATAATGATGATGACAAAGCTAGAATTTGTATAGAGCTTTAAGATTTGCCAAGAACTTTACAAATACTATCTCATTTTATTCTCAAAGCAATCCTGGATGGTAGGTGCTATTATTATTCTCATTTCACAGATGGGGAGGCTGAGGCAAATAGAGGTTATGACCTGCCCAGTATCACAGAGCTAATGATTGTTGAAGGCTGGATTTGAACTCAGGTCCTTCTGACTCCAAATCTAGTGTTCTATCTTCTGGTCTACTTAGCTGCTTAATAAATGTTTGACTGAGTGAAACTGAGTTTTCATCACCCAGTGACCCTCAGTGATTCATGCTAATGCTGTTAATGTTCAGTCTTGTAAATATTCTCCCTTAGGTGGAAATATAGTAATCCTCAGCTTTGCTGTCCTTTAACTTTTTTATTACTTGTGTCTTGTCTTCCCCAAGAGATGGTAAGCTTCTGAAAGACAGATCATTACATCTGGCATAGTGCTAAATATGCCATCTGTCCTCAATACATACTTGCTTAATGAATTTATTAATAATGCTTGAGAGCTTCTCATCCTAGGAAAATGGGAGGGTCTTACTTAGAGATGAGGATGACCTGAATAATGAAAAATGAAAGCATGGCCCTTGCTCAAAGTATTCTAGTGAAATATCTGAAACTTTGTTTTTTCAAAGCAAATGCATTCTTTTTAAAGCATAGGTACTAATCCTTCTTCAGGATGGTGCATGTGATACATGCCAAGTTGGGAGGTTCCAAACAAAGCAAGTTTTGAATTATCGAAGGCTTACGGGCATCTGAAACATTCCTTAATGGCTGAGAAGAATTGTCTTTCATGGTCTGATAAATCCAAAACAGCTCCACCAGGATTGTATTCTTCTTTTTTTTTCCTTCTGAACTGTTCCAAAGAAATTTGCTCCGAGCAAAACTAAATTTAAACTAGAGATGAGCAACTAAAATGAATTTGGCACTGGCATCATCTCTACCTTAACAACAGTGTGGTACTTACTGACGCATTGTAATTGAAGGCTTTTACTGAGGCAGGAAGAACCAACGGACCATGCAAATTCTGGTAGAAGGGATCACTCAACTGATCACGCAACCTGGGCTTCATGGGAGCCCTAACAAGATGGAAAACACCAATCGCCTCCTTCTACAATCCACTTTCACTTCTTTTGCATTGTTCAGTATAATGCAGAAATCCATTTAGATGGGGAAGAACTAAGTTTGCCTTACAAATGAAGAAAAGAAAGAAAGAAAAATTGCCCTGTATGTTCTGATGCCA